ATATATATATATATATATCTTCACTGCATATCACACACACAACACCCAGATAGAGAAATGGGAGGTTTCACCTGGGTACAGCTGCCAGGCTGTTGAACTTGATCAGATATTGTATCCATTGCCCATCCGCGCGTTGCCGCCGGCCAGGAAGGCTGTGGATCAAGATCGCTTGTCGGCCATGCTTGAGCTGGTGCTCTTCTCCGGCACGGCGGCTGACAACTGCCAACTGGTTTTGAAAGGACGATGGCCCATGAATCAAGCCAGGACTACATGAGATATTGTTACTTAGATATTATACCTTTTGATCTACTATAGTACATTAAGATGTTAATGTGTATTTATATATATATGTATGTATGTATCATGTTTTCTCTCATTTTTATATCCAGATCCAAGATAGTGATGAACAGAAGCCAATATCTTTTTTTACCCTCGACAATTAGCGATAAACAAATATGTGCATGTGATCGGTGGTGATGACATTGGACTTTCATACTTGGTGGACTACGGGAATCGGTTGAGACTAGATAGGCATAGATAGTCTAGTATTGTCCACCCTGCCAGGGGTTATGATTCCCCTTCACAATAATCGGTCTGTGGGGGCCATGAGTCGCTGGCTTGTCAGCACTGAACAAAAGTCAGCGTGCCACTGTGGTACACCCAATAAATGAACCATCCCCAAGTCATCACCGTATTTTTTTTGGGTTGGATTCAAACCATCCCCACATGGTAGTTGTTTATGGCAGCCAGGGAGAGTGCCACATTATCTCATGAAACCCCGTCCCCGTAATCATCCAGACTCATGTCAACTGGCTACAATCTGATCTGCAAGAAGTGTGCCATGTGCGATGCCCATGTCCAATACTGTAGCCGCATCGTGGCTTAGCATCTTGGACCCACATCAAATGATGCCATGTTGATGCCATGTTGACATTTGATGTGAGGCAATTTTCTGCGCATCTTTCTGATGGATGAGTCGTCCATGCCGAAAGACGCCACACGTACAGGATGCCTTTCACTTCTGGAGTGACCTGGTAGAACTGGACGCTGCCCCTTCTCAGTTTCAGATGGAACCCTAAAATTCCCAAAGCCAAAAGGACAACGTTGATGTATATTTCTTCATTGGAGGATTTGCTGTTGTTCCTTTACATGGCACCAGCCAAAGATGATGACATATGTCTCCCAGTATTTTTGTTGAAGTCTTGCAAATGATGCTGCGATTAGGATTTGCCCGTGTTGCCGTGAAACGGGTCCACATGACAGTTGTTGTCACAAGTGGGACGATTCCGCCTAGAATTGGGTAACACAAGGTCAGATGTTCAACATGACTTGACTAGCATTTTTATGAATTTATTATACAACATGCTAAAAGTTGCCCAAAATTATATTCTGGATTCGTAGCTAACCTAAAACTACATACTCTTTGCATCGTTGGGTTGATTCCCATAAGCCCAAGCATGCCAAAGCCAAGGAATTTCTTTTCAGCTTTATTGACATCCAGCAGGGATGCTGATGCGTTGAAGCTGCTGAAATCGCTTCAACAGGCCACGCTGCCAATTGAACCCCTCTTACAGGAAGGAAGGTTCTTGAACTCCGAGCGCGCGCCAGGCTCTCTTCTCCCCTGGTCCTGACTACAAGCCGCAGAAAACTCAGGGAAGGATCAGCCACGAGATGTCATGTGTTTTGATTGTTGGTTCATTGGTTTGTTGATTCACCGATTCATTGGTTCGTTGGTTCATATATGATGCGGTTTATGTGTCAGCGTCCTATTTTCGTACCTTTTGTTTGAAATTCGACTGAGGTTAGATGCCATGTCAGGTGCAGTTGTGGTGCCGGCACTCAGCCATTGAACGCTTAGAGCTGTTTGTTGAAAAGGGACAGCTGGTTTGGGAGAATCCGGCGCAGAAAAGCGCAGCTCAGGCTCGGCTACTGAGAAGAACCAACCTCTTTCAGGCTGCAAGGGACAGGTTGGAAGCGACCATTTTTTCTCGCCCACTGAAATGGATTTTACCTTCGGGTAATCCAACATAGCTATGGAAAATCACATTGCTAGTAACTGATAGGTAAATCATCATGAATTGTCATAAATCAATATAAATCATCTATATATGGCCCAAAGGATTGCTTACATATGGCCCAAAGGATTGCTTACATGGGGATCAATGATTACTTACATTGAGGTGGTAATTTGATTACAATCCGCCAGGATGTCTTCGTTTGCCAGGTTTTGCCAGCTCTTTGCCATCCTGGAGGCATTCTTCAGGTGCCAGTGGGCCAGGTTTTTGTTGCCAAACATGACAGTCCTACTCAGATGTACCATGTGAGGATTGCAAACCATACTCAACTTGGGTTCATGATTAGGAGCAATTTTCCACAGCATAGTCTTCAAGTCAAGGATACATTTTCCACGGCATAGTCTTCAAGTCAAGGATATAAATAGATATGGGTAGATTATGGATTATAGATCCGAATTGGTCATAACCTTCCAAACTTGAGAGGCACTTGTGTCAGACCTTCAGCGATGTCCACAGGCGGCAGATGTGGTCCTCCTGATGCCACTGGACTGCGATTGGTCGTTTCTTATCATGGGGCCCCATGTGAAGACTCGCCCATCACGAACCAGGTTTTTTGGGGTAATTTTAGCGCACTACAGTTTGAATTGGGGGTCAACATCGGTCAACTCATTTAGGAAATTTCGAGAAGAGCCCGTGTAGGCTAATGATTTCTCTACTGAGCTAGGGCAAATGGCTGCATCACCGCAGCTAACCGATCCAGTAGATGTCAAGGAAGTGGAAATGGACTTTTTCCGTTGTGAGTTGTGATGATTTTGATTTCGCCAGACAAAAAGAAAAAACACCGGAGGTGCGCCATAACTATGCTATTATTAATGATTAGACAAATAATTCCTGAAAGGTTGGGATCACCTGCGATTGGGATACCAAGGACCTCAGGGTTAGAGGCCATCTCCTGTGACACTGTGGAAGCGTCCCTTCGTTCGCGGCAGGAGCATGGGCAAGACCTCATTGATGGGAAGCCAGTTCAATATGCGAAATGATGCCATGTTCATCCAAGATCCATGTTCCTTTTTCGAACTCGGATGCTCAACCCGGTTGCACATGTTCACATTGTTTTCGCGGGAATGGGATGAGACAATGGTGTTTTTTCAGATAATGGTCAGTTTTGCAAGAACTCTGCCGGGCAAATGTTCATCTACATCGGGATAAAACTGAAAGAAGCAAACATTGAGGATATTCTCCGGTAGTTGAAGATGGTAACGGAGGAAAAAGTTTATAGCCATTGACACATTGGTTTTCTCATGAAAAGATGCAAGGTCCATCCACTTTCCGCACGGTTGGATTACCAGATGGTGGAAATCAACAATTCAAAGTAATTACTGTATACGAATAGTGTTTTGCACCAGTTATTTTTCCCCTGAAAGGTTACCACACCAGGGATGATGCGCAGGTGGCGATGTGCTAGATATTGCGACAAAAACATGCTACAAAGAAGACACAGCATTCAACTATGACCGGAGTCTGTCTATGTGTCAAAATAGTGCAAAATAGTGATAATTGATTAAGTGCACCCCCCACTTCAAATTCCAGGGACGTGGTATGCGGCAGCCAGTTGGGTCGCTGTGGATTAGCATTTGAATGACGAACTACTGATGAACCATGATGAACTAATGTTGGGTGCCCTATTTTCAGACAAATCCAAATCAAGACTCCAACTTGATCAACGCACGCAGTTCTGGATGTCAGGAGTTGTTGGCCATGCTTTTGTCAGCTTCCAATTTGGTGGAGTCCTTGTGCGAGGCCAGGGGCTGCCAGTTTGCGACGCCAGACTTTTAGGAATCTGCCAGTTTGCCTGTGGAAAATGGCTCGTTTGTAGTAGATGATTAAATGGTGCTCTTCTAATATAACAAACTGTTAGACCACCGCTTTCGTCGGTAAGTGGTTGGTTTTGTTTTTGTTGTCCCCGACATTTTGCATTTGAGTATGATGATGCATTCTACTCTGAAGTGCGCGTGTGTTTGTGTGAGCGTGTTTTAAGGATCAGCCACATGCACAGTGTGCAGTGCAACAAATGCTACTTGGACTCAGCTCATTGTCAATCGGCATGTCGATTGGGAGGTCCAAGGTTTGGAATATGATTTCCAATCATCATTTTTTTAATTATATCAGACGAATCTCGTTTCAGGGCTTCGATTTTGTGTTCTTTTCCAAGCTATCTTCATGCTGTTTTTGGGGAGGATGATCCCAACCAATTTTTTTGGCGCAGGCCGGCAGCCATCCAACAGCTGCGCAATGCTTGGCACGCCCGGGCCTGGATCTTCCCATGGGGCTGGTGTGGCCATGTGGGTGGACAACCATGGAACAATGTGACGAACACCAAATACATCCAAATACCCTCTGGGGGATGAAGCATGGGATGTTGAGAATTCCCAACCATGGAACAATGTGACGAACACCAAATACATCCAAATACCCTCTGGGGGATGAAGCATGGGATGTTGAGAATTCCCAAACTAAATCGAGGTGTGGTGAGAAAATCATCGAACTAAAGGGTGGGTTTTCCAGCTAGCCATGTTCGAATCTACGGAGGGCAGGTGAGAGGGTTCAATTTTGATGGATTGCAATGCATTGATCACATAGTGTTGGTTCGTTGGCTATAGAACAGAGATTCCACAGCACATACTGGGTGAAGAGCTGTGGACGAGAAACCGAATATGATTTGACAGATTTCATCTTTGATTCACAGATAGAAAGCTGACAATTGCAGGTTATATTCTGATTGGTGGTTTGGAACATTTTTTATTTTTCCATATTTTGGGAATAATCATCCCAACTGACTAATACTTTTCAGAGGGGTTGAAACCACCAACCAGATATAGTTTGAATTCTGGCAGTGCAGAGGCAAGCTTGAATCCCCGCCCTCGTGACATCTCAAAAACGCCGGATGAATCCGGGGATGCAAAGCGACATTGGCTGCCTTGAATGTGTTTGTATGTCCAGCTGTAGGGCTTCTCAAGTGGATAAAAATATCGCTTGGATACTTGGGGTGGATTTGCTCAATAGTGTTCTATATTTTCTTATGCCTTGTTTGCCAGATTGTTTTCGCATAGGATTTTGGGGCATGAAAAAGAGTGGAGTTCTTTCAAGTTGTGCATCCCATCTCAAGGATCATTTCCCCAGCCTCTGATATGCTCGGGGGAGCTCAACCACCCATCGAATCACCCACTGAACGCTGAGGCTTGTGCTGCTTGCTGGTTCACACTGCAGGCGTTCTATCTCCCACCGACCAAGAAAGGCCCAGCCGCCCAGATCCGGCAGAAGCCGGTAGAAAGCACCTTCTCCCAGATCGTTTTGCCAGACAAACAGGGGACCAAAAAAAAATGATCCACCAAGGGGTTCCTAACGACTCTGGTGCACAGCTCACACAGCGTGGTGTGCCTCAGGTCCAGCCCCGCCACTTTGGTGAACATCGCGACGCTCCTGGAGATAAATCCGGGGCTGGGGTGTGTGTTTGAGACGTAAAAAATATGTAAAAGTGTTTGGCTGTAGCACAGTTTGATAGGACCTAGGAGTCTTGCACTTTCGTACGGGCAACCTGTTTCAATGTCAGACTTGTTTCTTGGGATTGGAATCGAATGCTTTCATGTCTCTTACATTTTTGAATAACCATTTGGTGAAACATTATTTTGTGTGCTTAAGAGCTTTCACAATATTCAATATTCACCATCATTGAAAACACTGTTTAATATAGAACAAGGTTAATTTAATATAGAAAAGTTGAAAACATGTGCTACACTTCAAAATCAGCATGCAGGATTCCGCATGGGTTTTCATTGGCTGGATTGAAACACAATCCATTGGATTAAATATGAAACAGTCCCCGCCAAACAGACCGGTGAACATGAGCACCTAGTTCCAGCAACAAGGGGTGTGGGACACAGTTTTTTTTCCCCAATTGATCTGCCAGATCTTTATCAATTTATGGCATTTTTTTGGCAGAAAATCAGAGATATTCCCATAAGTGTTCATAGTTTTGCCTGATTTTCCAATATTTTCCACGGATTTCCTATAGATTTCCCATTGATTTCGCAAGGATTTCCCAAGGATTTCCTTCGCTTGCTGCGCCTGGAGGAGCGCTTTGCCCTGCGCCGCGAGGCAGATCCTGCGGAGCTGCTGGCGCTGCTGTCCTGGCTCTCGTGGTCCAAGGTGACACCTGCGGGCTGGGACGACAGATATTAAAATAATTATTATTATTAATATATATATATATTATAACCATTGATATGATACTATCGTTATATTATATAATGTTGATATCAATGGTTAGTATATTTATATCAATGGTTACAATCGATTTTAATATCATGGAATTATAGCTATTAATAAAATCGTTGCTAACTTGTCACTAGCATGGTTAATTATTAACATTGCTATTAACATGGTTATTAAATTGTTGTTAATATTCATGATATTACATCAAGATTTTCAATTTCATATCAATGGTTATTAAATGGGTTTCTAACAGCATCATTATCAATGGTATTCAATGGTTAAAATACGTTAATATATATCAAGTTACTATCTTAATATAGCTATATATATATAGCATATCACCTGCTATTAAAATGTTTTTAAGTATAGTTTTTATTCAATGCACGGGTAAAAGGGGCCCAGAAATGCGACCAGAAGCCGGGAAGCCGAGAAACCACCGGACAAGCCGAGAAGCCGAGAAGCCGAGAAACCACCGGACAAGCCCAGAAGCCGAGAAGCCGAGAAGTACGAAACAAGCCGAGAAGCCGAGAAGCCGAGAAGCCGAGAAGCTGAGAAGCCGAGAAGCCGAGAAGCCGAGAAGCAAGCCGAGAAGCCGAGAAGCCACCAAGCAAGCCGAGAAGCCGAGAAGCCACCGGACAAGCTGAGAAGCCGAGAAGCCGAGAAGCCACCGGACAAGCCGAGAAGCCACCGGACAAGCCGAGAAGCCGAGAAGCCACCGGACAAGCCGAGAAGCCGAGAAGCCAAGAAGCCCAACGAATGACGCGAATGAAATGAATGAAAGGAATAAGGATCGTCGACCGCTTCAACAATCAAGAAAGCCCGCTTCAGCAACCAGCATGACCGATTTAAGAAACCAAAATGACCGATGTAGAAACCAAAATGACCGATTCAGCAACCAAAACCGCGTCGCGATTCCAAAGCCAACTGAGAGGCGACCCAAAGACAAGGTCCGACTCAAAAACTTAAATGTGCGACTCAAGAACCGGAATGCACGATTCAGCAACCAAAACTTCCGAAACAAAAATGTCACATATTCAGCATCACAAGACATCAAATCCGCTTACCCCCTCTGAATAATACGTTGCACCTTGAGCATTACAAGACATCATCCCCGCCACCCCCTCTGAACACTATGTTGCATCTTCACCATCACAAGACATCAACCCCCCCACCCCCTCTGAACAATACGTTGCACATTGAGACATCAGCCCCGCCACCACCTTTGAACACTATGTTGCATCTTCGAAGGTCAACCCAGTGACCCCCTCTGAACACTACGTCGCCCATTGAGGATTGCAAGACATCACCCCCCCCTCTCTGAGAACTATGTTGCATCTTGAGCATCATCACAAGACATCAGCCCCGCGCTGAACACCTTGAGCATCACAAGACATTCACCCCGCCATCCCCTCTGAAGACTATGTTGCATCTTCAGCATCACGCTAGGGAGTCTTTAGCGTTTCCTTAGGGTTTCTTTAGGGGTTTCTTCAGGGGTTTCTTCAGGGTTTCTTAAGGGGGGGTTTTCTGCAAGGTTTGTTTAGGGTTTCTTTAGGGGTAACATTTTAACACCAAAGTTTTGGTGAGCCTTATGTGTTTGCTTGCAGATATGATTCAGCAGGAGAAATCTCGCTACAAGGGAGAATTTGCAGAAGCTTGTGTCACATTGGCTCTTGAAAGATCAACTGGCTGCAAACTAGTCACTCGAAGGGATTCTGTCAGCCCAGAGGTGGCGAAGACGCTTGATTTTCCTTTGAATTTTGTCGAGTTTCTGAATCGCTCATACCCAGTGGTTCAGGCGGCAATGGGCAATGCGAGTGTGTGCGACATTTTTTTTGCCCAGCATTGCCAACACAGTGCTTTGACCAAGGCCCTCTGCATAAATGAGATGAGGTGGATCTTGATCGATTTCATCCAGCCACCAGGGAAGCTTTTGTGGTGGCCTCTTCCCAGAGGATGCGGGGAGATTCCGGGGCTTCTTCAAGCGACCTCCACAACACCTTGACTCTCATGGGCAGAAAAGAGCATCTGACAGCGTTGTTCAATGCTCGAAACAGCACAGAACTCGTGAATGAGCTCGGAAATTTCCAACTGGAAGCGGGGCACTAGCGCTTCCAACCATCTTGTGCTTCGTTTGAGGGATGATGTAGACACCGATGCAGCTCCTTCACCTCTAGTCGAAGCCCGAAGGGGAACCTGCCAACCTGTCCCTGAATTCACATGCAGCTGGTTTGTTTGTTTTTCCTCCCGTTTTTGAAGAATATTTTTGCCACAATGCGATCCTTGCTGGCGTGAAACGCCGTGAGCTGAAAGAGTTGTTCCAGTCAGAAGACTCAAATCAGGTGTTGGCTCGGGTTTTGCAGCACGTACTTCAGCAACCCGTAGGTTTGACCATGAGCCAGCGGAATTTGCTTTCCACGCTAGCTCAAGAAACACCAAAGAAAGGGAACCTCTGGATGTCCAGCGCCTGCCCAGGTGCGGGCATAACTTTTTTGCTTATGCGCATTGCCAGATCTTTCTTGGAAATGTCCGGCGCTGAGGATCAGCAGCACTCGTGTGCCTGCCCTATGAGCGTAACGTGGTGCTGTTAAAACTGCGTCACCATGATAGCCCCACAAGAATGCACAATAAATCCCAAAGCAACAACAATCTCAGCCTGTCTGATATGGAAAGCAGAATTTTGCTGGCTCAACTGGCCGCAAAGCAAATGCACTCATCAAGGATTCAAGGATGTGTGAAAGACCAGATGCAAGGCGCCAGTTCGATATGCAAGGCTTTTATCTTGAACGGCTCTATAGCTTTTTTTTTGTGGAAAACGTTGTCTTTGGGACGAGGCCATTCCAAGCCTGGCTTTGGCATTTCATTTTTTCAGATGCCATGCCTGACCAGTGTCGTCTTTCACGGTTGTCCATCGATGACACATACTACTTAGAACCAATAGATACATGTAGTTTCTTGCAACCGAGGTGCCCTGATTGCCATTAATTTCTCGCTATAATTGAAAGGACCAATGCCGCTTGGATAATGCTTTGGGGCGCACTTTTTTAAATTTAGAGATTACCAAGTAGCAAGATCTTTAGATAATTCGATGGTATATACCTTTGCTTCCCAAAACCAGCCATCATTGAAGCTACCAGTGAACATATCGTTTTGCAGTCCCAACTTTGGTTTACATTCCTACTTGCCTCAGGTCGCATCAAAAAAACAAATGGCAACAAAGACACATTTAGTAGGCAAAGAAGTTGCAGGTACCAGTCATACCAGGGTGTGCAGTCATTCGGACTGAACATTATAGAAAGCCGTGCAGCTATATGAACAATACATGGATAGATGGATGCATCCATATGTAGAAAATTATTAAATAAATGCATAGTAAATAGCTACATGGCCATAGAAGAGAAGAAACCATCTTCTCCCAGCAAATGCCTTAAGTGTCACCACAAATAATCGCACAAGACTTGATGCGCAAAGTTGCCTTTCGATGTGGCGATTTGAAATTCCCCACCTGCCAGATGAGGGTCTCTAGATTTTACTGAAGATCCCTTCTTCCTTCTTCCTCCTTGGCCCGCTGAGGTCCAACACGCACGGACCCGAAGCCTCTAGGGAGCTCCGGCTCAGTCCGGGAGCGCGCGGACCCAACCCAAACAGCTAGCTACAGATTTGTTTGGGGACGCACGGGCCCGACAGCAAGCCACAAAGAATGTTAGATAGTATGTTAGAATTTCTGCCAAATAAGTATCGGATAAAAGGTTAATTAAGATGGAATGCCAGAATGTATGTCAGATAGAATGTCTGAAAAAATGTTTCTCTTTGTGCCTCTCCCTTTCTCTATCTGTTTCCTTCTCTCTCTGTCTCTCTATCTTTCTCTGTCTCTCTCTGTCTCTCTCTGTCTCTCTCTGTCTCTCTCTATCTTTCTCTGTCTCCTTCTGTCTATGTCTCTCTGTCTCTCCTCTCTCTGTCTCCTTGTCTCTCTCTCTTTATCTGTATCTCTACCTCTTTCACTATTTCTATCCCGGTCTCTTTCTCTATCTCTATCTATTTATTCCCCACCTGCCAGGTGAGGGTTGTTAGATTTTATGTCAGTTGCCTGCTCCTCCTCTCCTCTCCTCCTCTCCTCTCCTCCTCTCCTCTCCTCCTCCTCCTGCTCAACCGCGACCCTCGACGCACAGTGTTCTCTGTCGGACCTCAACCACGACCATCCACGCCCAGTGTTCCCTGCCGGACCTCAACCACGACCATCCCCGCCCAGTGTTCCCTGCCGGACCTCAACCACGACCATCCACGCCCAGTGTTCCCTGCCGGACCTCAACCGCGAGTATCCCCGCCCAGTGTTTCCCGCCGGACCTCAACCACGACCATCCACGCCCAGTTCCCTGCCGGACCTCAACCGCGAGTATCCACGCCAAAAGATATGCCACATAGAGTGCCAGAAGATATGCCAGATAGAATGTTAGAAGATATGCCAGATAGAATGCCAGAAGGTATGCCAGATAGAATGTCAGCTAGAATGCCAGAAGATATGCCACATAAAGTGCCAGAATGTTTGCCAGATAGAATGCCAGCAGATTTGCCAGATAATATGCCAGAAGATATGCTAGATAGAATGCCAGATGGAATGCCAGAAGATTTGCCAGATAATATGCCAGAAGATATGCCAGATAGAATGCCAGATGAAATGCCAGAAGATATGCCAGAACATATGCCAGAAGATATGCCAGAAGATATGCCCGAACATCTGCCAGAAGATATGCCAGAACATCTGCCAGAAGATATGCCAGGTAGAATGCCAGAAGATATGCCAGATAGAATGCCAGATCGAATGCCAGAAAATATGTCAGATAGAATGCCAGAAGATTTGCCAGTAACAAAATGTATAAATGTCATGGTGGGGATCACACGAAGTAAAGTAATTTTTCTATTTCTGTCTCCCTCTCTCTCTCTCTTTTTTCTTCTATCTCTCCGGAAGATGATTGGGGCTTTGAGTCCCTCTCGCTCTCTCTCTTTCTCTCTGTCTCTTTCTTTCTCCCTCTCTCTACGTCTCTCTATCTCGTCTCTCTCTCTCTCTATATATCTCTCTCTCTCCTTCTGTCTATGTCTCTAAATCTTTCTGTCTATCAATTTGCCTGTCTATCAATCTTTCTATCTATCTGTCTGTCTGTCTGTCTGTCTGTCTGTCTATCTGTGTATCTATCTGTCTGTCTGTCTGTCTATCTATCTATCTGTCTATCTGTGTATCTATCTATCTGTGTATCTATCTATCTGTGTATCTATCTATCTGTGTATCTATCTATCTGTGTATCTATCTATCTGTGTATGTATCTATCTGTGTATCTATCTATCTATCTATCTATCTCTCTCTCTCTCTCTCGCTCTATCTCTTTCTCTCTCTCTCTCTCTCTCGCTCTATCTCTCTTGTTCTTTCCTTCTCTCCCTCTCTCCCTCTCTCTCTCTCTCTCTTTCTCTCTCTCTCTCTCTCTCGTTCGCTCGCTCGCTCGCTCTCTCTGATGAAAATGTCTCTTCTGCTCCATCCCACGTTAAATCTATTTCTGCAGGTCCCCTTCAAGTGTACCATAGCTGCCACTGTTTCTTGCAACTGCTGCCAAAATTTGGTCAAGGTGCAAAATCCGTTGCGGCTGCTGCGCAAAAAATACCGCTTCAACGTTAAACAGACACTAGATAAAATATCGCACTGCGTATCAAATTAAGTGCAAGAGAAAGTTCAAGATATAATGCCAAATAAAATTTCAAAATATTTGGAGATAGAAAGCCAAAAAGGATGCCAAACAAAATGTGAGATAGAATGCCAGGCAGAAGCTCAAAATATATGCCAGATAGACAGATAGAACGCCAGAATGTATGTCAAACGAATGCCAGATTGTATCTTTGGGTACATGCCACGATGGTGATCGCTCGAAGAAAGTAACATTGTATTCAGATAGAAGTTCTCCTGCTTTTTCTGGCTACATGGCAAAAAATTGGTCACGCGAGTTCAATAAGCATCGCCCATGCGCACGCCAAGGTTCTGCGGATCAAGGTGGAAGCAACGGGCAAGGCAGTAACAAACTGCAAACAAAGCCCACAAGAAGCATTTGTTTCTCTCGGAGAACATCCGAAGTAGTGGAAAAATGCCGAGAGAGCTGAGCCGACAGAAAATTAAAACGATTGCTTGGACATGTTCGGAACTTCCCATAATCATAAAGTTGCTCTTATTTCTCCTGTGCCAATCTAAGATTAAAAAGCCAAAGCCCAAGTGCCTGCTCCTCCACATTCATGTGCTGATGACTTCTCATTTTCTACCGTGATACACGGCAGGTTGATTTAAAGACAAAATTAAATAAGCCCTCCTTCTATATTGCGCGCGCCAACTGAAACCCAAGACTTACAGCAACTTCACGCAGGCTTAGCCCAATTACTCATGCATTACGCATTCAAAAGCTTGCAATCACCACATACAAAATAAACATACCTAGCTGGCAACTTAAGAGGGAAACATCGTTCAATCCCTGCGTTCCCTGATGCAAGGCATTGCATCATATGCTATATATACATCTAGCGCGTCGAGCCGCGAAGCCACGCCGTGTGCACTTTTGCAGAAGGAAGCGTCGCAGCGCCAACAGCGTCGCAGCGTCGCTCCCGCGTCGCAGCGTCAACGGCGTCGCAGCGTCGCTCCCGCGTCGCAGCATCGCAGCGTCGCAGCGCCAACAGCATCGCAGCGTCGATCCCGCGTCGCAGCGTCGCAGCGTCGCAGCGTCGCAGCGCGAACACCGTCGCAGCGCTGCTCCAGCGTCGCAGCGTCAACAGCGTCGCAGCGTCTCTCCGGCTCGGCAGCATCGCAGCGTCGCAGCGTCAACAGCGCCGCAGCGTCACTGGCCCAACGGCAGCGTTGCAGCGTCACAGCGTCGCCGGCCCCTGGCAGCGTCGCAGCGTCGCAGCGCCACCCGCCCCCCATGGCGTCGCAGCGTCGCAGCGTCGCAGCGCCACCCGCCCCCGGGAGCGTCACAGCGCAACGTCGGAAACCCACGTTTCGGCCCCCTTTGCCCCTCCACTGGAAGATATTAAAATAGTGAATACTACATATTGCGTGATCATACTATTGTTAACTATTAACTGAATTGTAATTTGTATATGACGATAGATAGATAGATAGATAGATAGAGAGAGAGAGATAGATAGATAGATAGATAGGTAGATAGATAGATAGACAGATAGATAGATAGATAGATAGATAGATAATGATAGATAGATAAATAGACAGATAGACAGATAGATAGATAGATAGATGAAGTTAACATCAATCGTTATTAGTCTCATTGTTATCAATGGTTTAAATCAAGTTATCATATTAATAACAATTTGTATATATATATATATATATATGTTTAACTATAATTAATATAATTATCAAGGGTTATTAATAGAGTTAATATTAAATATTAAATATGGTTAACTGGTTTATGTTGTCACCACCAGCCTCTTCACAAGCCACCCTAAATTGGACCAATAAACAAGTTGGATTCACCTGTGGATGTAGGAGGAAGGGACGACTAGATGACTGATTGTGGCAGGGTGAGTATGTGTAATCATGTGTAATCTATCAAGGGGGATTCAACCAATGAAAATTGGTTTGGTTTTGCATCCTCAGGATCGAGGCCAGAGAGACTACCGCAGCAATGCTGTAATCAGCAAGATGGGGCATAGAATATAGAGAGAATATTGGCATATATGTGTATAATGTAGGATACAGATTAATTCAAAGTAAATTGAAATCAATTCAAAGTAGATTGAAATCAATTGAAAGTAAAATGAAATCAATTCAAAGTAAATTGAAATCAAGTCAAAGTAATTTGAAATAAATTGAAATCAATTGAAAGTAAATTGAAATCAATTGAAATCTATCATTTTTTTTGATTCCACACTATTGCGTACCCGGTCCCTTGTTTTTTCCACACTATTGTGTATCCAAAATTTGTTTGGGGAGGGGGGGGTCCCCCCTGTACTAATCAGTATCCTACATTATATATATATATATATATGTGTGTGTGTGTGTGTTATCCTTCTTTGTTCCCCCATTGACGTTGACCCAAACTGTGCAAAACGTCAAGCGCAGGCTCTATGCGGAGATGATACGCAACCGTTGCTTCGCTTGCATCGCTGCTTGGCCGAATATTCTGCCACGGATTCCGGCCTCAAAATTTGTCAAGCAGCCATGGTTGTTTATCTGGGAAGCTGAAACAGTCAATTGACATTTAGTTTCGGAACGGGCCACGTAAACATGTCGATTGATATTTAGTTTCAGAACGTGCGTGTATTGAAACCACATGAACCACGGGAAGTTGTTTTTCACCTGAGATGGCCACTGTAGTTGTTTGATGTTGTTTGCAGGTCGCTTGTCGTATATTATGTGAACTCGGCAATTGTTCCCTTTTTTCGATAGTAGATAATCAAAAATTCGAAGGTTCCGGTCTGCGAAGCCTGTTTTGCATATACTGTGGTAAACTGCGGTAAACCCAATGAAATCAATTTGCAATAATGTTGGATACCATCCGTTTCTGGTAACTGTGAGAAACAACTGAAGATGCTGCATGTTTGTTTTTTTTCACATTGCCAACCTCATTTTTCTTGGTTTGCTTGGTTGGATTGATCCACATGTTTCCAGTGACAGCCTTTGATATGGTCAAGAAGTTGATCAGGGAAGTTACGCGGTATTTGAGTCAGGACCCTGGAATTCGCTGCTAATCACAATAGTTTAGAGTTTTCCTCATTCATGTCAATCTGGAGGGAACATATCACAAGCGTAATCCCGCAGCACATGCGTAATGATTCCCTCAGTAACGACGTCCCCATACTATATTAATTTGATGTTTTCCACTAGTTACGGAATAGTTCAATGTGTCCATCCGATTTGGATTCTTGTGATGATCCTATTTGACTAGTTGTTTGGCCACGTTGAAAACGCCGTCGGACAAATCGCTGGAACTTTGTTCATGAACTTGGGCGCATCCAGCCTGAAGGGCAAACAATTGTTGCTCATACAATATCATATAAAATACCCTGATATTATTATTCGCACAATTTGTTGCCGTGTTTTATTTTAAGGGAAAATTCATGAAAATTCACCATTTGTGCTGTGAAATTCAGAGATGGCGATGAAGAGAGAGGAACAGGGTCGAAATGCATGTTTATTGTTATCACCATACCATCAAACCCATATCAAACACCTCATCATGTGGGTGTGCCTGAAAATAGGATGCCCAAATTCATGTGGTATCATCATTTACCCCACTAAAATCACAAGTTGTGAGTGTGTCCCGTTTTTTTGACAAACCCAAAATATCACATAACATCACAAAATCATTTTGCTGGCTATATATCCCATCAAATATTTACATGATTGGTTGTATCAGTTATATCCCAATCTTTGCTAGTTAAACCCCGCTAAACACCAAAATACACTGGATTTTCCGTTAAAAAATCATCATCACTTCCAGATTTTTGATGGGAAACTTTACAGGAAACATTAAGAAATATATCATTTAGTGCCAAACCTGGATTAGGTATCATATTGTAATAGAATCTTATCACTATTTGGACGCCATCCCCATAAATCATAGTTCATTCATCCGGGCTTGACATCAGTGGCGAAACAACAACCGCCTTGCTTGGCCGCATCGTTCGAGGTGCCAGCTTCGTTCGTACTTTGCTTGCTGCCATCGGACGCGCCCGAGACGATGTGCTGCTGGCCGTGTGCCGCTTGTATTTCGCCCCGTGGCGTGGCCTCAAACTGCTGGGAGGGGCGCAGGGGGGGATGCACTGAATGCATCTGAATGCCATAGACTCCATAGACCTAGTATTTGAGGAGGGTTTTATGCAATGGATATAGATCCCCGTTGGAATTTCCCTTATAATTTGGAAGGGGTCGACCCTCTTATAAATGGTTTATATATAGGGATTTTGTAGTTACAAGAAGCCCCCTAACCGGGGCATTTTGTAACAGGACACCTAAAAGGCAAAGTTGTACATTTTGAAGTGTTCATTTTGAAGGAGCCAACTGATTCTATAAGACCATCGAGATTGTTTTTTTTGAGGCTTTTTGTAAGCTCAAGATGCTGCTATTGAACATCAAAAAACAAAAAAAAACTCAGCAGGGTGTGCAATGACATTTTGTAAGGAGATGTCGTCAAGAGTAGAAGAACCATTTTATAAGAATATATGTTTTTTTTAAGGCATTGATACAAATTATTGTTCAGATCTGTACATGTTTTTGATTCGACTCAGTCATTTGATAGCTGTTTTGGCTGTGTTCGAAACCACAGCGCTGACACAGCAGAATGTAAAACACCCTTTCATGGCAGCTTCCTGGGGCTACAAGCACCTTGTCATCTTGTAAGGCACAGTCCAAGTTTTATGGCAGCCATTTTGAGTTCAATTTCTTTTTGGATTTGGCGGAGGCACCAACTTTCTTCTCAACGGCTGTTGTGTCGGCCAAGGTTCTTTTGCAAGTTGTAAATGTGACTACGCTCACGGCTATCTCATATTTTCATTTTGTGCATGTTCTTTCCTGTTCAACTTTCATGTTGTTTTTTTGTGCTCATGTGATCACACAAACGCAAGACATCATGACAGGAGTTCTGGTAGGCAATGATGAAATAAAAATACAAAATACAAAAGGTGGCAAAGAAAAGGAATCCTTACAAAAAGGCTGCTTGAAAATCAGCGAGTCCGGGAAAAAAGGAAAACCATAAGTTGCTGCCTTACAAAATAATACCCCAAAATGCTATCTGAAATCACAACTTCTTATAAAAGGTCATCGAGTGGGATACAACATTCATATCATGAATAAACTTGTCACCTTACAAAATGACCGATTTAAGAGTCGAATGTGGGTGCTAAAAACTTATGTTTTTTTGTAAGGGCCCAAATTCCCAAAAACCGATCCATTTTATAAAAGTTTTCAAAATCCCACCAGTTTATGCTTACAAGAAGCTGGGTGCGACCCCTTCCCCCAATTCAAACCCGGATGGATATAGCAAGATATAGCCATTTATGGAACTGTTGTGGATGCTTTATGATTTAGGATCGCCCAAGTCTTGGAGTGTATATTCAAGATTGGTTGAACTATTTTGACTTGGGTTAAATCGAATGGAGATTGCCACTGTCGACATCAGTTTCTCGGATCCAACCTTTTCCTTAGAATTAAAATTAGATTAAGCATATGTGCAAGATTTGATGAACCATGCTTTCCACTTCCCACGTTGGAGCTGATCAGGTTGCTAGGGTGTGGTTGGCTGATTTCAATGTGAGTGACCGGGCTATCCGTGGGTCTGAAGCGAATATCCTGAGTTTGCCCCAAACCCAACATGTTCAGTATGTCGGGGATGGATAAGAAATGACACATGCCCACTATAGTTACCTGAGCATAATTATGTTTTTTTTTCCAGGATTAATCCCTACCATTGTCGGTTATAGTCAGATTGTTGGTGAGATTCAGAGTTTCTGAATTTGGTTGGATGTTTCCAGACGCTATTTTGTTTGGCTCAATTGTAGGTATGCTTGAGTATCATGTGCATTTACCCCTTAGCAAACCCTTACAACGCTTACTAAAACTCTCAGTAATCCCATCCTTATATAATATTAAACACCTCACAGATGGCCCCAAAGAAGTGTAAATGTCCTACTAATCCATGTTTCGTTTGGAGGTCTTTAGTATCAATGGGGGAAGGGATTATTCTATTGGCATGATATTGAAAACCCTGGTTAAAATATTATTGTCATTAAACCAGGCTTTTAAACCACCATTAAACCATTAAATCCCAGTAGAACCCAGTGAAATTTTTCATTAAACCCCATTAAACCACCATTAAACCAACATTAAACCACCATTGAACCACCATTGAATCCCAATAAAATCCACCATGAAAATATCACCTATGAAATCCATGGGATCGAGAGGTCCAATGGAAGCGCTGAAGCTGAAGTGGATCCTCCCCTGGAGGTGCAATCCAGGTTTATATGTAATATTTAATGTTGTATAATCATACTGCATACATATACTGTATTTTGTGAATGACTTATATATGACTACATACACATGTATATATAATATATATATATAATTATATTGATGCATGTCTACCTACACAGTGTTATGATATGCATCTTTCGCACGGGTACGTTTCCCATGCACCCCATGCTGCAGGTGTTACAGACTTTGGCCTTTGCCACGCCCTTGGCAGAATGGCTCTATCCCACCTTTGGTGGTCTCATGAGGCATCCTGGGTTGGAGAAGATGTGGATGGCTGACGTGGTTCCCAGCCGGCTCCACTTTTTGTGCTTGCTTCGGGTAATATCACGGATTTCATCCTCAACGCTAGTGGACGTCATGCTGGATCAAAACTCGGGAATCTCTGGAGCCTCCACCGAAGTGACCTAAATTTTCAGGTACATCCCGTGATGTTTTCCACGAAACCCTATAACATACCCCACTGAAGCTGTCCCCTTTCCATCTCCTTGGCAATCTTGGCATCGCAGGAACCGAAGCTCAGAGGCGATCTTTGAAGCCTTGCAGCCCCCACAATTGGCCAATGCCGAGGCCATTCGTCTCCGTGTCTTTTGCTGTGCCACTGGGCTGCAGTGGAATGCATTGGTGGTGGGATGGTAAGCGGACGGCAATGGGGTTACCATTACCTTGGCCAAGATGCTTATCAATCCAGCTGGTTTTCCAGAATATCCTTGACTCTTGCTTTTGTTCTTATTTGTTCTTTGTGGCGCTATATGCTGCTGACAGTTTGTTCGACATGTTTTTGGGGTTGCTGCTCAATTTGACAAAGGGTAAGACAGACCCCAAGATTTCAATGTTTGCTGCACTCTGCATTTGCCGACCTCAGGACTTTGGATTCTTGCTGGTGTCCTGATAGGTGTTTGGATGCACCGTTCCTAGAAAGGTTTTGGCATGGTCAAAGTTATTGGTGCAAGAAATTGATATAATGTGATGAGATATGAAGTTTCAAGGGGCCCTTACGTATGAGCCATAGGGATGTGGGTCAATCATGGTCAAACTATGTCAAACTCCAACCCTGCTTCGGCAGGGTGAAGATTCAGCTGTACTAGCTGTTTTGGTCTGAAGCATTCATGGTTAAGTGTCCCTTAGCCATAGTTGAAACCACCAGCCTGCATCTGGGCTACATGGCGCATTTCGGAGAAGCATCATCTTCATTATCACTCAGGGCCGCTCCAAGCCATAATACATGATAGCCGCTTTTTGGATTTGTTTGGATTAATTAATTTTGGTCCGCTTCGGGAATCAAACATGGCTTGCTGGAACATTTTGCATTTAGTTCGTTGATTTTCCCAGCTAGAAACCTCCATTTAGCTCGGGGATTTCAAATTGCTATATGTTTGACACCGGATGGTATATCCCATCAGAATCCCATTAGATCCTAGTAACAAAAATCATCCCATTAAAGCTAATTAACAACCAATAACAGGTATTATCCCATATGTTATCCCATATATTATCCCATATATTATTATCCCATGAAGTCCCATGAAATCATCAGCTCCCAGGTCTATGCAGTGCAGCTGCAACCCATGTACGACTACGAATTCTTCGGTGACGCCAACCCCTTGCGCCCGGAGGAGGCGACTTTTGGGCAAATCCCCATGGCTGGCCGCAAGCTTCAGGTTGTTGAAATATGATAATTTACCCAAATTTGTTGGGCATTTAACCATCAAACATGGGGAGAGAATGGTGACTTGACATCATTTAACCATCAAATACGGGGAGATAATGAACCATCAAATATGGAGAGATATAATGGTGATATGACAATCCAACTTAAACTCGTCTCGAATTTTGGGTTCATCTGAAAGCGGGATATCCCTGCAAATGGGCATGTTAATATGCAAATGATGTTAAACCAGTGGTTTTGTGGCACCCTATTTTCAGACAAACCCTTTATACATGGAGTGCATGTACGGTGAAGAATATACTGGCCGCCCCTTCGAAACTTGTGGTACTTGTGGTCAAGGTAGGGATGGGTCCGGTTGAGGACCCTCATAGAATATGCCACTTTGTTAACATGAGGCTGGCGATTTGTAGCGTTCTTCTCAAGTCTTTTGGGGGTGAGTTTGAAGGGAAAGATGCAAACACTCGTTGGTGGCTTTAGCAAATTCTGGATCCTCTCGGTTTATCAAACGGACGATCAACCCAACTGCTAGATATGTGTAGGATGCACTGAATCATCAAACCACAAAATGTAGATATATGGCTTGACCGTGCCCAGTGGTCACAGGTTCGGGAGCTGCTTCCGTTCCTCAATCGCTTAGCCTACCACTTTGTCACCAGCATGCCGGACCAGGCCGGAGCAACACTTTGATATCTCTGGATTAATTGTAGAATCCAATTCTCTCGTGTAGAAGTGGCACACATCCCCATGTTGATCGGTAACAATCACCACCGTTGGTAAATCTCATCCATTTGCGGCTCAGGCCACCCTCCTCCCCGCTGCCAAAGCCTTGCGGACCAGTCTCACGTCCTTGGTGCGGCCCTCGGCTTGCTGATTTCACGGTAAATCTGCTGGTTTCTCTGTGGGAAATTGTGTGTTAAAAAAACTGGAAAACCTGTGGAGGAATGGAATAAGTGTTGAAGAGTTGAGTTTTTTGAGAAACCCAATTGTTGAGTTGCATATAACCTGTGGAACCCAAAATGGCAATACAACTTACCGAGAATGTGAGTTTAAGCAACAAGAACCAGATTTAACCACTAAACAATGGAGTTTGAGTCTGAGTATTGAGTATGGGTCAAAATTTGGGAAGCAGGCAGGCAGAGACTTTGGCACCATTTTGACCAGGTCAGTTGCTTTTTCATGGCGTGCATGATGAAAACGAAGCACTCGCTACTTTGCATGATTCTTGCGTTTTGCCCTTTGGCATCTTTTGACTTGCTTTGACTATTGTTGCACGCGGACATGTGAATCTTGTAATGTTGCTCCTTTTGGGTTGCAACACTGTTATGATAAGCCTTGAAAGGGCATTGACACTGACAGCGCGCTACAACAGTGGAAAGCCTGGCAGGTTAGTGAGTGCTGATTCAAGGTTGCATTTATATGCCCATATTTGTCATATTTGGGGATGCACATTTCCCATAAAGAATTTCAGCTGTATAATATACTAGTTGATATACCCTCTGATAATTGAATAGTTTGATGCTCTATATATATATATATATACGTGTGTATATATATATATATATACGTGTATATATATATACATTTATTTATGTATTTTCACATGGCCCATTTATTCGATGCATTAGCTATTGTTGCCTATGAAGCATGGACATTTATAGATGGTCATCCCCCTAACTGATGGAATCCCCCGCCATCCGGTCAGATCAACCTCCTGTACCAACGACATCAACGCCGAGCCATCTTGGACAACGATGCGGTCTGGGCCTGGGTTAACAAAGGGAAGGTAGCCTGACGACTGGATGGTTTAGCCAACACCAATGGAAATACAAACAGAAATCAGAAATGGTAAATGGATTTACTATGGAGATGGCGATGGAGAGAGAGAGAAATGGATTTACTATGGGATTTTACTATGAAAGTCGTGCAAGCTTCGCTTTTGTGGCTCTATTCGGTGTTGGCTGCATAGTGGTTAACCTTTGGGTAAGGGCAGAGGTGGGTACCCCCATCCAGAGGGCACCAAAACCTCAGCCAAAGGCCAGCGGCCAACCGTTCAGACCAACTGTTATGAATGCCATGCATATCTACATGTATAGTCGTACAATTAGTCGTATAATTGTCATATGTATTCATATGTGTATACACACACATATGTAATATATATATATATATACCCTCTGGTTATGACTAACATAGCCATGGTATAGATGGCCCATAGAAATAGATGATTTTCCCAGCTAGAAACCTCCATTTATTTACGGGATTTCTCATGGCTATGTTAGTCATAACCAGAGGGTAGATCCCATTAAATCCCATTAAATCCCATTAAACCACCATTTTCCTATGGTTTTCCTATGGTTTTCCTATGGTTTTCCCATGGTTAATGGTCAATAAACTAATCAATGATATCAACCAAAGTCAATATGCCAGCGGCTCGTCGATTCGAGGCTTGGATCATCCCCCAGTCACGTGCCCTACTGCGCCGGGCGCCCTTGGTCCTGAACCTGGGAACCACGGAGGAAGCGGTGCCGGAGGCCGTGCTGCATGGTGTCTGCAGCTTGGGAGATTTCGCAACAAAATGTGGAAAAGGTTGGATTTAACCATCCAGAATAGTGATATGATGGAAATATACTGGTTGCGTTGCTCTATGTTCTAGATTTTTGGGTTGATATGGTTTTCCCCTTTCAAAGAAACACAACAGTTTCAACAGAACTCGAAAAATCATCCTGTGCGACACGGGGTCCAGGGAATCCATCTTTCGCATCCTTTAGCCGGTTTCATCAAACATATCTTAGCAGATTTTCCATGATTTTCCTACCCGTCTGGTAATCTATCATAGCATGCAGGAAAATCACCCATTTAGTTCGATGATTTTCCCCTTAAAAAACCTCCATTTCCGAGGATTCCCAGTATGGCCAGGACGATGATCCCATGGAAGTGGACGAAGATGGAAGAGCTCCGGAGGCGCGATGGCCATGGGGTTGGCATGTTCCGTTCGGGACAGGGTACCCCAATAGCTGGATGGTTTAAGATGGAAGACCCTACATAACCCTACTAAAATGGATGATTTGGGGTACCCCTATTTTAGGAGACAACCATATAGTAGTGCCCAATTGTTTTTTATCGATCATCAATTGTCCAATTCAAATATTTCAATAGCCATTTTGGGGTATACCGCTATTATACCCTATTTTCAGAGACACTGATATGGGAAAAAAGATGATATACTATGGGACAAAAAGATGATATACTGTATATATTCAATATTGTAAATTGCATCTTCGTTTGTTTGAGGTAGTGTAACCATTGGAAGTTCTGAAGACCTCATCATTGCCAAGTTTTTGAAGTGTAACTTACTGACATGAATAGTTTATCTGGCTATCTGGTTGGTGGTTGGGAACATGAATTTTATTTTCCATATATTGGGAATAATAGTAACCCCAACTGACTCATATTTTTCAGAGTACCAGGTTATCCAATGACACCATAGGCAAATAGGAATCATTGACTCAGCTGCGCTCGAGGGAGTTGACTCAGCTGACCCAGCGTGATGTTTCCATATTGTCATATTATGTCATATTGTCAATGGGAATTTCAGGATCCTAAAATGGATGTACCTACCATAAATAAGGCCCATATATATATAAGGGCTGTGAAAGGGGATATCCCCCCAAAATATGGCTCTATATGGTACAGTACAGTTTAGGATCCTGGAATTCCCATTGATATTGTTTGATATGTATGTCACGATTGTCACGTCCAACATGAGGGTTTCCTCTAAATGTTCCCTTGAACCAGTCCAATGATTACTGATTACAGCCTTAAAGGCTTAGGTCATCTAACAGTTTGCCGTGGAAATCATAGGTATACCATGGTGATTTCCATTTCTGTCATGGATGTCATGAAAAAAACATGTTAGATTAGCAGGGGGTAGCTCATTGATCAATCGACCAGTGGGTATAATAAATGCCGAATACAGTAGATCCAAAGAGATGTTTTTAATGATTTAATCATCAACCAACTGGGATAATTTTTATCCTTTGGTAATCTAACAGTTTGCCACAGAAAACCTGACTTTGACTATGTAAATCATGGTAAATCATCAAAAAAATGGCCATGTTTATCCATGAATTTCCATGGCGTCAGATTAGCTTTGCGAACTTCGACGGAGCCAGGCCCAAAGAGCTGCCGCCAGTGGAGACCCTGGTGGATACAATTGCTTTGCACACACACACACTCTCTCTCTCTCTCTATACATATCGATTGTTAATATTTACATTATGTAATATATATATATATATAATTATAATGATATATGCATATGTGTGTGTATGTACATATTGGTTTGATGACATATATACTGTATACATGCGAATCTTTCCGACAGCCGAGGTGCCACCTCTTCTCAAGCTTCCGCTGAGAAGGCGCTGCAAGCCGTGCTCTCCGAGATGCCTCACGTCTTGCCCTTTGAGGTGCCGCTAGAAGAGGTTGAAAAATGGGGTCTATTTCTGGATATGATCCCAATATATCCCAATTAGTGTGATAGTATATATATATATGTGTGTGTAATAACAAGAGATAACCAGATTATGATGCCCCATTTACATGTGGGGCATAGTTCAAACGCTTGAGAACCACATCGTTTTGGTAGATTTGTAGCATTGACCTAGATGTAAGATGTAACCATCAAAAACCCCACAGTCTCCCAGTGAATAAGTCCAGAATAGTCCAATGGCCAGTGGCCATAAAATCGTTTTCTGTGCCCCGCTTTGACGAATTTTAGGAACACACAAAATCACGAAAATCGTGTCTAGCAGAGTGGCATGGTCGTTGGGGCATCATCAGATCCCCTGGCCGTGGCTGAGTCATATCTGATTATCTCCAGGACACAGGACACATCAGGAAACCTTTGAATTTGGTTGTAGAATGCGGTAAAACCACGGTGAAAAACTCAGGAAACCCTGGCATTTTTCCTTGACAGGATCGGGTATCCATCCTCCACAATGCCATTCTCGCAGATCAGGAGCAGATCCGGGTGCGTGCGGAATGCATGGAGATTTGTGATACACGCGCAAGTCAAAATGTAATCAAATAATATCAAAGATATACATCAGGATACATCTATAATCATGTATTATAAAGCGCAGTTATAGATGGCAATTGAGACCTATGTTATATACTATTTATATAATTTTATATAATTGAATAAATATATATATATATATTATAAGTATTGAGGTGCTGTATTGTATTACACTGCGTCACATTGCATTACATTACATTGGATATATGTTACATCACATCACAGCACTACATTAAGCAGCATTACATGACATACGTCCTTACACGTTACATACATAAGTGTGTATGTGTGTGTGAGTGTGTAGCAGGTGGTGATTATATGCGTTGAAAAGCACTGGGGGGTGCCACTGCGGCCAGATGCCACAGGAGCAGCGACGGGCTTTCCGAGGGCCCTGGGGCCTTTCCGTGTGGCGCCTGGAGTGCGGGTGTGTTTGAGACTGGGTATACCTCCAAGATGCCAGTTTTAGTGATGGTGACGACAAACCTTACGCTGGCATTTATATAGCTTCAATTGGTTTATTATGGTTTATTCAATTTTGAGTCACCTACTCGGAAGACAATTGATGAGGTTGCACACTTTTGTGGACACATTTGGTTCGGTAAAAAGAACAGTGCAGGAGCAAAAACACATCAACAACTTTGCCCAAGTGATGCAGCTAGATACACACAGGTTTCCATAGAATCATAAATATTTTTCGGATAAGTTACAATTAGCGACGCCATGATAGGATTGGGGAGACTGTCCCAAAATAGACGCAATTCCAATTCATGGAAATTTGACACTATTTTGGAGGTAAACCCACAAAAATTATAGTCAGAGTTTAGTTTTTCGGGGCTGACATATTCCTACAATTACATTGTTGGGAGGTCATTCCAAATTCGCCCAATAATTATTCCCATCATATTTCCATTTATATTCTACATGGGGTGGTATACCTCTGACTTCTTGGGATGACAATTTGGGATGAAAACATGATGAAAGAAGCCAACTATTGATGGAACAAAGATGGTACCCTCCGGTAATTCAACACTTTGCTCTACGGAAAACATTGCCCATGTTGTTCGATAATTTACCACCCAAAAAATGGTGATGTTCCATCACAAACTGTTAAATTACCGGGCGCTACCAAAACATAGTAGTTACTGTAAACATCCAAATCAAGTGGGCGTTTATATTCCCATCATTTTCCCATTGATTGTTGGTTCTTCATGAACAAACAGGATATTAAGATACATTATGCATACAGAATTGGAGGGGAATATCCCGAATAGATCTTAAGCCTAAGAAATGTTATATGATGTTATATCAGCTATATCCCTTTAAAAAAAACTGATGGTATGGGTACCATGTTTCTCACGTTACCCATGCATTGCGCACAAAGGCCTTGGACAAACGGCAGATCCGCCGAAACTTCCTGGTGGAAGATGGCATCGCGGCCTTCGAAGGAGCTGGCCTTACCCATGGGGAATTGATATCGAAAATATCTTAAGCATTAAATCATCTATGAATGTGGATAATTTAATGATCTATCTGATGCATGGAGATTTGGATCGGGTCTTTACATCCAAAAATGGTGAAAACATGGAGACGTCAGTGGATTTGGATTGTTTTTTTCCACCAACAAAGTACACTAGACACTGCTATCTCCAACGCATTGTTGATTGGCAATGAGTAAATATGTGATTGAACAAATCGGCGAAGGACAGTTTCATGTTTTGTTTGCCACTTGAGTGGACAGCAGTGAGCTATATTACGTTGTGTTTGTTTGCGATCTATTTGAGGTTAGCAGAGGTTTTTTTTTTAAATAAATTGTATGGTATATTGGTATATACGTAAAGGGGGGTTATCCCCTAATGGTGTATAAAATGTTTCTATTTGTTGAATGCTAATGGACATCAGCAATGCATCAATCACAAAAGAAATGTGGATGGGTGCTTTTTGATGAGAGTTGCCACCACAGACGTCGTGGGCTGATGATAAACGCTGGGGAATGTTGTGCAAAACAGCGCCGCGCCCTAGCATTAAAAGGCCGTATTTCTCTTCATTTCTTGGAATCACTTTCCATGAGTGTTCGATTCAATCTTCAACATAGTTGGAAGCCTTCATATGATGACGTTTGCGAACCACGTGTTCAAAAGTTGATATGCAATATGATGTATGTATGTATATATATATATATGTGTGTGTGATATATGATATGAATCGAACGCATATACACATCAACCGATATGCGTATGTACGCACACAGACACACAGACACAGACATATAATGACACATATATTTATGTATCAATGTATATATGATGATATATGTATATATATATATATACACATATGTATTTAAACACTTATTTACATATTTACACATGACGTGTGTGGGTGTGTGCACTGCAATTATCGCTTCCTTGCGTCGGTTCGCTGGTGTCCTGTCGCAGGTCTGGATGAAAATGCCTTGCGGGACACCTTCCGCGTGGAATTCATCGCACCGGATGGCAGCGTGGAGTCTGGTGTGGATGGCGGCGGTTTATTCAAGGCACGGTTTTCAGTTGTGATCCTGGAAATTCCACCAATGTAGATGACTGGTTGGTTTTAAACATTGAATGGGATATATAATCCTCCCATATATATATATATATTATGGTTCTATCCCATATTTTATATATCCTATTATATATTTCTGTTCCATAATATATGGGATATATAATCCTTCCCATTGACGAACTCATATTTTTCAAGATGGTTATTGCACCACCAACCAGATGATGTTCCAACAGGAAAACCACTGATTTTTTTCTCACCCTTTGTTAGTTTACCCGAGGTACCCGAGGGTATGATTTACAGGGGCAAGCTGCAGTCATACAGTCATACACCTGGAATCTGAGTACAAGGTGAGGTTTTTTAAAAGGTATAGCAATGCAAAAACTGCATAGGTGTATGTGAGCATCAAATCTGGGAGGGCTGGCACATGCGTATGCCCATGTACATTAGTGTTGCGTTGCTTCAATGCGGTTGGCTGGAATCCCTTTCTACCTGTGCCAATGACAGGAATTTATGATCCACATTTGCCGTGAGATGTTCGATCCAGAGCTAGACACTCAGCCACCACATGATGACTTTTCCTCCATTTCGGCGCTGGTTCCATTCTGGCAACAAGACATTGTCTTGTTTCATTAGCGGCCGTACAGCCTGCAGATCATGTTTGTTAAAACCCAATCCAATGGCCAGAACTCTGTCAAAAACAGTAAACAGCAATTCTTAAGCAAATTCAGGGGATGGATTTTTTAGACATTTTCAGGTATCCATGGTATTTGCCATCAAATATGAGGTCGTCCTGTGAGTGTCCCCCCAATCCATCAATCTCAACTCACGCTCATTAGCCAGCCCTGAGGAAGCCCTATTCCATCATGCTCTGATATGCTTTGCTCATTTCTGATCTGTTTTTTTTAGCATACCTGATGTTCCAAGCCCAGCTCTGCCCTGGCATCGAGGTTCGGACTTTTTACCGCCACCAGCGACCATGCCCTATATCCATCTCCTTCTTCCTTGACGCAGCGCCTTGGACTAGTTGAAATGATCTGATGATTGAAGATATTGAAGTTCTGGATTCGCACTGCTAGGGATCGAAATTGGGGGATTAAGGATTATTAAGGAGGAGACCAGAAATTGAGAGCGTAGAAGAATCCAGGTTTTTGGCTGGCAAGATTTTTTTTCCTTTCGATGGCCAGCTAGAATTTTGGTGATGGTTGGAGCAGGGTGGTGCATAGAAGAAGTGCTCTGAATTTTGTTGCATGCTTTCCCACCAGATCTTCCGAATGCGAATGTATTGCACATAGTGTACTCAAACCTGCCCATGGAAAATCGCCCTTAGATGATAAGTACGCCTATGTATATGATCATTCATCTAATACATTCCCCTGTTAGTTCTGTAACCGATTCCCAGAGAAGGCGCGTCAAGATCCGCTTCCCATCCTGGCAGGGTGTCACATGCAGCTGACTTGTACATATTTCTGGGCAAGGTCGTGGGTAAGGCGTGGCCAGGGCCTGAAAAGGCGAGCATGGACATGCAAACAGCACCTGTTTTTGCTCATTATGTTTGCGCATTAAAAAAGGATATGTCATGATATACTGTGTCATGATATATGTTTTCAGTTGGGAGCAATATATACATATATATATATCATATATCTAAGTATGGTGAGTAAAACACCATCTTTCCTGGCTGTACCTTGGATAAAGAATGTTAAGAATTGTTTGTTGGGTGTGTTACGCCGCCAAGGACAGAGCCAAAGTTAAACTCACCTGGGTTCAAGGGGAATCATCCGGTCCAGGGTCCCCAAATCCTTGGAGGACTTTCCCTAAGAACGGGACACACAGTCACAGGTTTTTTGTAAAGTTATCCTGTCCCATGGGTTATTTGATGCTACATCTCCAAGGAATCTGAAAAAATCTGAAAAATATTCGACCAAACTCTCAAGTATTCAGAGATATTCAGAGTATTCACTAGTTGAATATGCTATGTCAATATGGGGATGGGTCAAAACCCTGGTACCTAGTGAACCCCAAAATAGCTGGTAAATGGATGTTCATCCCACTAAAAATGTATCTGTAGGTATTGACCCATACCCATATAGCATGATCTACCGCATCCGCAGGCGATCTATGAGATGTTCCTCTTAGAGCCTCAATTCAGCCGAGTCTTCCTGAACCGCCTCCTGGGTCGAATCAATGAGGCCGGCGACCAGTGGTGCCCGGTGGTGCACATCATATTTTAGGCACCATAGATGTCATAGATAGAAAATGATAGAAAGATATATATACATAATATATATATATGTAGATACTTACATATACACGCATATATATATATATGTATGTATGTATACATATCATATATATATATATGCTATCTTCCTGCTGCCAAAGTCTTGTACATTCAGAAGCCCAAGACAAGAACAGCGAAGATACTGCACTGTACAGTATTTTAGCCCACATGCCTAGACTTCCTGAAATGGGAGCTGCAACCCAAAAGATGCATCAGAGAATCAAAAAAACAGCCAAGACGGAATAGATATGAACATGCTCAAGCATAGAAGGGGTAGATAACTGTAGAACACCGGCAGAAATGCGGTGATGGCAATTGGCAATGATTGATTGTAGATATTCACCAAATATAGGCTTAAGAACCCAAAAAAAATGGTGCAAGAATCAAAGATTCTCATTGGTACCATCTGACAATCAAAATTGCTAGCTTGAAAACCCACCATTTAGTTCGATGATCTTCCTTCTAAATAATCTATATGGGTATTTCATGGTATTTCCATAAATGGGGGATCCTCAATGGATGGTTTATAATGGGAAATCCAATTAAGATGGATGATTTGGGGGGTACCCCAATTTTAGGAAACCTCCATATGTCATCTGGTTGGTGGTTTCAAACACTTGTTATGTTCCATAATATATGGGATAATCCTTCCCATTGACTTTCATATTTTTCAAGATGGTTATTGCACCACCAACCAGTCATGATTTTTCCCTTGAAATCTCAATGTTCGTGGGATTTCCCCATGTCTCATGGAGTTGAATTTCAAGGCTTCGCATCTCGCTCCAGGTGGACGACATCGCTTCATTAGACCGGGAACTGCACCGGAACATGCTGCAGATCAAGGTGGTCGCATGAGTTTGTGGTCTGAAAATGAGAGAACTGATATAGATTATCCATAGATCAACCATAGATTAATCATAGATTAACCATACATACCCCCATGGACAACCAATGTGTTGCAAGTTTATTGGAAAACGTGTGAATTGACCATCAATTTTTATGGCAAGTCGGGGAAACAACTGGGGAATTCACCCCCGATTTACTGTATGGCAAGTTTATAGGGTGATGACCATGGGAGGGAATGGGCCTGGGGCACGCTATTTTCATGCGGATCCAGAGGGAACAGAAAGCAAGACTTAGATTGGTAGCCCATTTGGGAAATATTAAATTAATTCGCAAATGATTTAATCATAGATCGAGAGAGATGGCGATGAATTGAGATATGGAGATACGCAGTACCAAGAGGATAGGTGAAAAGGCACCAATAAGAGACCTGGTCCATCTAGGAGACTGACGTCTATTATATGGTTGATCATGGGCTGGCTTGAGACTACAAAGCATTGGTGCTTGGGAACTGCCAGATGGCAATGGAGAGAGAGAGAGAGAGCTTGGAACTGCTAGACAAAGAATTGAACTGCTTAAGCAAACGTTCGCCTGGAAAATTCAAGGTCTGCATTTTTTGATAACAGATGCGAAAGAAACATGAGATGATTCCTATGTTTGATGGATTTGGCAAGTGAATGACAGTTGATTGGAATGGGTCAAGGCACGAAGACTGCCGGCCATGCATGATGCAAGAAGTGGTTTTCACCAGACACCTCTGGGTGTTTCATCCCGAAGAACCATGGCAGATATCCTTTAACTGGTTGCTTGATTCGTGTTTTGATCACAATGAATAGAAGTTCATCAAGGGCTAGCAACATACATTTTTAGCCATTTTTCACAACCATTTCATGTAGATCGTGCAGATGGCCAGGAGTGTAGCGACGTTGAGGCGCTTGGTATCACCTTCAGTAGCTTGGTGCGCTGTGAGGATATATGGATGCGGTGAGGTGGTGCAATTTATAATGCATACCATAGCATACCCTCCAGTAACATATGGGGATGGGTCAAAACTTGTGAAATTACAATCTGACTGGGGGAATAAACATCCATTAACATCCATTAATCAGCTATTATCCATGCTATTTTGGGCGCCTAGGGTCCTAGGATTTTGACATGGAAAATGCTTCATTGATATAGATGATTTGTAATGATGATTTCCCGAACTTAAACATGGTGACCATTAAATTACCACTGGGTACCCTTTGGCAGTTTAAGAGTTTGCTAGGCTATGGTATAATTTAATCCCTTCTCCCTATTACTAAACCTCCCCTAAATAATAAGAACTACCCCAGATTATTTGTTTTGGGAAATTTCACATTGGTCAATTTGACTTTTAATTGATCCCCAACAAACTAGAAATCTAGGTCCGTTTGAAGGTTCTACCCCCTTAATAATAAAAACTAGTTAGCCCCGTTTGTTTTTTAGATTAGGGTCCATTTGTTAAAATCGAATATTTCATTTTGTTTATTAAGGTTTTAAGTTTGATATTAGGGGATTTTAATTTAAGATTTTAAAAAAGGAATTTAATTGATTTTTGGCAATATTTTAATTAGATTTTAAAAAGGAAATTAATTGATTTTGAAATCGGAAATTTTAGTTTTTAATTAAGGTGTTTATTTTAATATTATAGGAACCAGCTTCTCCCAGAATATTAAATACCACCTATAATAAAAACTACCCCTAGGTTTTATTATTTGGGGGGGCACATTTAATATTAGGGTGAAGGGATTGGATGTCCCATTTACTTGGATCAGAGGATCATCGCACGAATCGTAGCTGGTTCGTGACCCGGGTTACCAAGACCCCTAAGTGCAATATCCCACATCAAAGACCATTTCAATGTGAGAGTTTGAGATCCCCATTTTATGGGATAATTACTCCCCAATTTTCCGGACTTTAAAGGTACTAGTAGAGTTCATTATCCAGACACATGCATGCACATGCCAAAAAACTCAGCATTTTTTCACCATTTCTGACACCGACCCTTGGCCTTTCACATCATGGTCGTAGCATGTTGTAACTTGCCGCCGGCCGGGGCCTCAGGCATTTCTGTCACGGAAAAAGGTGTCAACAAGGACCTGTTTTTGAGGTCGGGGATCGCCAAGGTCCAGCCGATATGTGGGTCAGTTTTTTCCTGCCCGGTGAATAACTAAGATCAGAGAGTGAGCCCAAAATGACCTGTGCGACCTGTAAGTCGGAAAATCCTGCTCTGAAATTGTTTGGGTTTGCGGTGGGAGCGTTAGCTGTGTTCGGTAGACACAGATAACTTCCGCTTGAGGAAGTCCAGAAGTGTATGTCCCAGTCAAGTGGTTCTGATATGTTCTGATGAAAGTTTTTTCCAATTCGTTTTTAGATCCTTTCGGTAGCTTTCAAGAGTTGTATCCTAATGTTTCCATATTATAGTTGATTATAGTTGGATGTACCTGCTTGTTGCTCCATTAACACATGGAAGTTTGTAAAAACCTCGGCAACCTGAGGTTACAAAAACCACCAGATGGTATATTGAGCCTTCCCACGGAGGACTTGGACCTCATTCCCAACGGCAGCAATACTCCGGCGCGGGGGTGGGGGGAATTCTACTGGAAGTTCCATGTCATACTGATGTCATACTGTAAAAGGATGATCCCTGCAGCAAAAGGTTCCCATGGGACCTTTCTGGTCCTTGCATCTTTGGAATCAGTGTTTGTTGCGGGATTCAATCTCCAAAATGCGCCTTCTGTTCAATTAAAGATTGCATTTGCAGGGTAGGCAGCCCATGTTACAACATCAACGGCATTATAGTTGTGACCTAATTACCTTGCCACGCCACCCGCCGTTCCGCTTGGATCTTGTAGATCTTGTGATCCAGAGGTGACCCGCGAGAACCTGACCCGCTACTTGCACCTCATGGCGAATTACAGGACGACCTTTGAGATGGACCTTTCATCTAATCTCGGGCACTGGAAAAAACAACTTATGGTTTCTTACTGTTTTGGAGGCCAACATTTTCACGGGTTGCACCACGTTGCACCACGTTGCACTAATCCCTAAAAGATCTTCGGTAAAAGTTTGGCATGGTCATCCTTCCACTAAGAAGGCTTTACCACAACAACAACATACCCAGCAGGAATCCCATTGAAATATCCCAGAAGGAATCCTTTTTTTGACGCTGGGATGATATGACCATAGCCCACATATGGAAAAACAATGAAAAACATATGGAAAAACCATGCGACTGCAAACCTCTCACGGACCATGGGATCTTTAGTATACCTTCAAATAACGACCGTTTACTTGTTGTAATGTGGGCGGGTAACATGTTATATCATGTTATAATGCCATTGGTCACTATTTTTGTGTCCCTCTACTGGTAAAGTGTGCTGGATCAATCTCAAATTGACATTAAATATGTGTTCAGTATGTTCGTATATTTTTGTCTTAAGCATCCATTCAATCTCGCTGCCCACGTTGGTGGGTTCCAGCAGTTCCAGCTCACGTTGGTTCAAAAACCACAAGCCTTGTGCTCCAGGACCAACATCCAGTTCCAAAGGCAAACCTCAGCCTTTCTTAGTGGCCTTCAAAAGGCAACGCTGTGAGTCATCCAACGGGATTTTTGACCAGCGCTCCGCTGTGGCTATTGTCAACTCAACTGATCAGTTTTCTTAGATATATATATATATATAATAGGATCTACATACATGCGGGCTTGTAGGGCCTAGACTATATATATATATATATCAAAACTAGTTGAAATCCCTGATGTAGGATGTGACAAGACAGTGCTGCAGTTCACCATAGATTAAGAGCTGTTTGTTGCCCCCTGCCCATATCCTGCAACGTGTCACGACTAAAGCTGTAAGCCTGGGCCCAAAATTTTGTGAGGTTCACCTGGAATTCAGCAGGTTTCAAGTCTTTGGGCCACACCCAGAAGTGGACACCTAACACTTCTTTTAAACAACTTGTCATGTCATTGCAACCCCTGAGATCACCTAGCGGCTAGTTGTTGTTGCAGCAAGACCATGGTCAGCATTGCTGATTTTGTTGGCAGGTGATTCCTGTGACATGGTTGAAAATGTTTGATCCATACGCCTGGGGCCTCAGTTGTCACTTCACCCGACTGATGGGAAAGGCCTGTCCAGTGGCCCAGTGGCCCAGGGAAAGCAGGGGATCAGACTTTGTGGCGGGAAAAAATGGAGGCCTATTTTTTTTTGGAATTTTTTTCTTTTACGTTTTTGGATTTTTTTTTGGGTTTCTTGTTTTATCTTGCTTTCTCCTTTTTTTTTTTGCGTTTTTGCTTTTGTGCTTTTTTGTTTGTTTTTTTTTGTTTTTTTTTGCTTGTTTGCTTTTTTTGCTTTTTTGCATGTTTGCTTTTTTGCTTGTTTGCTTTTGTGCTTTTTTGCTTTTTGCTTTTTTTGATTTTTTGCGTTTTTGCTTTTTTGCTTTTTTGCTTTTTTGCTTGTTTGCTTTTTGTTTTTTTGCTTTTTGTTATTTTTGCCTTTTTTGCTTTTTTGCTTTTTGCTTGTTTGCTTTTGGCTTTTGGCTTGCTTTCCATGGCTTTTGGTGGTATTTTTAGTATGTCAAACTTGCACATTTTTCAATACACTAGTTTGAATCGACTATATTCATATATATATATTTATGTTTAAATTAAAATCATAATATATATATATATTTACATATATATATGTATGTATATATATATGTATATATATGTATATATATATATGCATTTATATACACACTTGTATATTTATATCTAGATATATTTATATTATTTATATTTTCTACTTATATTTTTTATATATACATATTATTACTATTTATGTTCAAATTCATATATATATATACACACATATATATACATATATATATATATATTTACATATATATATATACATATATATATTTACATATATATATATTTACATATATACTTACATATATATATTTACATATATATATACATATATATTTATATATGTAAATATATTTATATATTTTTATTTATGCATGTATATATACACTTAAATATATATTATATTGATATATTTATATTTACATATTTATATTGATATTTTATATATTTATATTTATATATTTATATTTATTTTTATATATTTTTTTTACATATAAATATATATTTATGTACCTATATATATATACATTCATATGTATATACATATAAATCATATAAATGTATATATATATATAAAGAAGTATGTATCTATAAGTATATGTACTGTATTCCACATGTTTCCAGGGTGCATGTCGTGTAGTCTATACACCTTGAGTATCACATTCAACCCAGCACCTTGCATGTAAAATAGGTGTTTCCAATCTGCTTTGGCGGGGAGGCGCTGCGCCCTCCCCCCAATCCCCCCCCTCCCGCTTTTTTTAATTATTTAAATTCAAACTTGCACACTTTTCAATACACTTGTTTGATTCGACTATATTAATATTTTGTTAAAAATTATATATATATATATCTAGACATATATATATATAGACACACGTATACATATATATATATATATGTATATGTATATATTTGCATTTATATATACACTTATATTTATATATATTAATGTACTTATATAAATGTATATATATATACATACATATGAATATGTATATACATATCAATGTATATATATTTATATAATTATATAACTATAAGTATATATATATATATTATAAATACACATACATATTTACTCATAGATATACAGACGTATACACATATATATATATGACATATTTGTGGTTGTTTTTATACACAACTTTGATCCCAACATAAACAACAAATAATCATGTAATTATACCTAATTACATGTTGTATCCCTAAACCCTAAACCACACCCTGCATATACATACATACATGCATGCATGCATACATACCTACCTACCTACCTACCTACCTACCTACGTACATACATACATACATACATACATACATACATACATATCTATATATATATATATATAGATTGATTGATTGAAGAAAACCAAAGAAACCTTGCAGAAAACGATGGAAAATTGAAGAAAACCATGGAACAATTGAAGAACACTATGGAAAAATTGAAGAAAACAATGGAAAACTTGCAGAAAACCATTGGAAAACCATGGAAAAATTGAAGAAAACCCGGGAAAAATTGAAGAAACCAATGGAAAAATTGAAAAACACCATGGAAAACTTGCAGAAAACAATGGAAAATTGAAGAAAACCATGGAAAATTGAAGAAAACCATGGAACAATTGAAGAAAACTATGGAAACATTGAAGAAAAACATGGAAAAATTGAAGAAAACCATGGAAAAATTGAAGAGGCACGAACCCCAAAAAAAAATCCAAAACTGTAAAAAAAAAAAATACCAAAAACAATTCTGCACCCGGAAAAAATCCTTGTAAGATGCACATAACCCAAATGCATATGTCAGCCCCTGCATTGCACTCTCTCTTGTGAGGGGAGTGGGCTTCCAGTTTATTGCTCATCACAAAACCTTATGTTTGGTTTATTGGGATGATCACAACTTATCATGCACATGTCAATCATTTCTGAGCTTCCACTCCAAAAATGGAAGAAAATCCGGTGCGACAAGTTTGGGTTGGCCTCCGTTTTCAATCTGGTGCGACAGGTCCCAATGTTATAACGTTGGGCTACTTGTGTTTCCCTTTGTTGGGTATGTTCCGCAAATCAAGTTGAAACGGACACCTGAACATGTACTGCCTATGGTGCTTACATAATGATGTTAATTTCTTCGGTCATAGAAATGGGAGGTTGAAGAACATGGTGACCTCACTGTGACGTCTGGAAAAATGGTTGTGAGGGGAATTAATCCCAATATCGTAATATAACATAATATAATATAATATAATATATCCCAAGAATACTATAGTAATATAATAACATAGCCTTATTGCTGAGTGAATTATTCTGGGTAAATCATAACGACTTCACTGTTCTCCCTCACTGGAATCATGGTTAGTAAGGGAAATCATCCCCAAATGGCCGCAAGATTCAGGTTAGTGAAATATTATAATTATTATAATTCACCTAGATTATTGTAATGTACCCAGATGATGATCTGATGATCCCGGATCAGATGTTTCACCGAGGAACTGAACACCTTGATCTCGGGCTCCACGGCGGGTGGATTCGATGTCCGTGACCTTCGGGAGAATACCGTGCTGTCGGGCGGCTACCAGGCCGTCGCTGGCTGGTTTCAGTGGGTGGTTTCAGTGGTGGATTTTTGGGTGGTGTTACCTATTAAAAATGGTGATTTTAATGGGAAAACCCATAGGAAAATGGAGGTTTACCCTCTGGTAAACTAACAGTTTAGCTATGGAAGATCCACCATTTTCAATGGGAAAATCCACTATAAATATCTATAAATCACCGTTTTCAATAGCTTTGTTAAATTACCAGAGGGTAGCATGTTGATTTTAAGTGTGATAAAAATCTTCAAGGGGTAAAAAAAAATACCCACCACTGAACTAGGAGAATTCGCCTGCAAAGCCTGGGGTCGGGATTACAAGAGGGAAACCTTGCAATGTGCACAATCTACTTGCCATAGAAATGGCGATTGTCCATTGTCAGTCTGCTTTTTCAGCAACTCCCACTGGTGATAGACAGCCAAAACCATTTGGAGACTGTTACTGGAACTCACAGCAGCAATGGCAAACCATGGCTCAAGGCCGTGCTCCTGACCACCGTGTGCCTGCCACAGGATGATAGCCCTTGCATCCAGTGGCTGTGGCAGTTGCTGCTTGAGCCTCAAGCAGTGGCCAAGTGTCCATCTCTCCTGCAGGAACCAGTTGCCAATTCCATCGAGTTCCGTTTGGTTCGAGATGTTTAGCACATCCACCTCCAAATTCTGTACGTCGAGCTTCCTGTACAGCACTCTCCACCTGGCTTCAGGCAAGAAGATCTTGAACCAGAAGATCTGGGTCGATTTCTGATGCCCGGTCCTCAACAAAAAGCGCACAGAGAGCCTGGCCAGGATGGATGGGTCCCAAGTCTTATTGGGAAGCGGTTGATCTGAGTAGACATAGTAGACTTCCCCAAAATGTAAGTTGCAATACATCCTTTGGGTTTCCTTGCTCCACTCGTAATGCTTTTATCCTGCGCCTGAAAAATGTAAGATTACATGTTTGATTTGCGTAGCAAATGTCGGTAGGTTTGTGCGTTTCTTGAGAGAAGGTGCGCATATAAAAATGTAGGTTACATTTCGGGCCCCCTTCCCCCCTCAACGAGTCGGGATACATAGAGCCCAAATTGGGTACTCTCACTGAGTAAATTTGTTTCCCAAACCCTTCGCCAAAGGAATTGTTGGGCAATTCCCCTCCAAACAACATCAAACAAGCAATGTTTTGACCGCTGTTCGTCCCATGCAGTGGTTTCTGCACTGTTTGAATGGCAGCCAAAAAAGTAATGATCGCCATGATCCCCGCCGGAACCCATGAGGAGCGGGTGGCGTTGAAGCCCCCTGGTCAAGGGTGAAATCTCACTGTAATGCCACTTGCAATTCAACGGTAGTAGTTTTTTCTAACATGTTCTAACCTAACCATTAAAACATATTAACAAATGTTAAAACCATATGAGGCCGCATAGCACATTACAGAGCCACATCAAACCAGATCAACCTCCCTGATACCCAGGGTTTCTGACCCCGAATTTTTCAACAAAGGTTCACCACGTCGTGCAGCCGAGCACCGCTCTTGGGGTAGCTGAGCGGCAGCCAAGCGTTGCAAGTTGGGTCAGGTCAGGTGAGCGATCTGGAGACGATGGTTTTGTGAAAATTTCACCGTTGGAGAAATCGATTGAGATTTTCTCCGTTGATGTTGTTTTGTTTTCGTTTAGTTGTCTTAAGATTGCAAACCCAAGTTCTGCATACGAGGTTCAAGAACTTGAACCCCAAGTTCTGCGTGCACCGCGTCCCGGACCACGACCGACTGCCCACCAGTGCCACGCAACTTGACTGCCATGGGCCACGGCTACGAGCGATTTCAATCTGGTGATCACTCTTGGCTTGCTGGAAAGTCACCTGTTTATAGGTGATTTTCCCATTGATTGAAACCTACATTTTTAGGAAGCTTCAATATTTCCCATGATTTTAGCTAGCTGAAGTTGCCCCTTCCTTTGGCAAGGTTTCTGGACAGCGAGGATTCTCCAATCGTGTAAATTTTTCACAGGTAAACCCGCAAGGCTCCAGAGGGGTATAGGCTTGCGACTAGACTAAGCACAGACTCTGGCCGCTGTAAAACGATTGCTTGCAGTCTGGGAGGCACTTTACCCCTCTTCAAGTGGTGGCAGAGCTAAGCTCTAGTGTACATATAGGGCTCAATTAACCCAGCCTTGCAACCCAACAGCAGTGGGAATTCCAACTTCAAGGAGACTCAGTGTGGAGATAAAGTGACAGACAAAGTGGAAGAGAAAGTTTGAAGCAAAGCAAAGCGAGAGACAAAGTGGGAGACTAAGTGGAAGACACAGTGGGAGATAAGTGCGGGAGAAGTGGGAGGCAAAGTGGGAGGCAAAGTGGGAACAAAGCGAGAGACAAAGTAGGTGACACAGTAGGGGGCATAGTGGGGACAAACATGACAAACTTTGAAACAAAGTAAGATTGGGAGGCAAAGTGGGAGACAAGAGGGAAACACAGCGGGAGACAACTATTTTGGGGAAGTGACAGGCAGCAGGAAATGCATATTTCTGGACCTTCTGGAACTTCTGGATATTGCATTTTTAAAACTGAAGTTTCTTCTAGCCTTCTGGTTTGCTCTAGGCCCTAGCCATGTATTAATTAACCTTTCTTGAATATTGCTTGATGCAATGAACACCCCAGTCCTGTTCTCAATTCTCGTTGCTGGTTAAGTTCAGTACCAACCCTTTGACAACGCCGAACTAGTGGATTCATTTGTTCAACACCGAGATTGAGTTGGGCGAGGAAAGCAAGATTGACCGCTCAGTGGATGATAACTCTTGTTGCTATTGAAAACTATTGAAATAAGATAGCCACACATGGGTGAGTTGAATCAGTGATTTATTGGTTCGAAACACCTGCGTTTTAGACTAACAAATTGTGGATGGTCAGCATCCACACGTGATTGAAGTTTCCCTGTGTCAATAATCTGCATACTTGTGGGTTAATAAGCTAAAGTTTCGCCCGACTTGAGGTGTGCCAACCTCCTCAAATTGCCGGACTACGTGAACTACCACACCCTGAAGGCGAAGGTCCTTCAAGCAATTCGCCCGGTAGCCTATTTGTTGCTGGAGGAAAATTCAGCAAAAGATTGCTGGTTTGAAACATTGTTCAGGCATGTTCAGGCTGAATTTGCACAACCAGACAGTTGTCGTTTCGCCTTACCTGAATGATGAATCTAAGCGGCAAACGTTTGAAGGGTTGTCTAGCAGCACCCCACTAGATTCACTGAGCCAGATTTGCAGGCTTTCTTTTCTCAGGGAAAAATCAGTCACCTGAGTCACCTGCCTAGATGACACACCATGTGCATTGGAAGCCACAGATACAAGATTCAGGATACCACAGTTGTCTGACATTTTTCAACCTCAGCATTAGGGTGCCCAGTTGGGTCCCTGTTTGTACAGTCATCAATCCCATTCCCATTTTTTCATGGCCCCCAGCAATGGAGCACGCTAATCATCATGGGTTGTTGGCGATGATTCCCCAACGCTTCAGGTGCTGAGGCTGGCTTTGATCTGAGCTGAGTGGCCGCGATGGCCTGGGCATATGCAAGTACTGTCATTCAAATTTACACATGCAAAACAATAATATGCCCATAACAACAATAATATATAACAATAATATATAACAATAGTCCTATCAGGCATATAGCACAACAATAATATACAACAATTAGATATCACCGCATGCTTCCAAGGCGACCCTGTTTGTGAGAATGGCTTCCCGAACTTTGCCCGTTTCTGCGTGCTTCTGTGTCGTTGGGAAGTCATGGGCTACCTCAAGGTGCAAGTGAACATCTTCTCAGTCGAACATATTGCTTGAAGACTCTGGAGGCTAACACGAGTCCAAGATTGAACCATGCATTCTCCCGGAGCCCGTAGCATCTCTGATGGATATGGCTGCTAGTCCATCCGCATAGCGCTGTGTGCCACACTGGTTTGAGCCACTGTGGATGACAAACTTTCAGCAACTGGGATGGAATTAGAAATTGCATTTTCAGAGAGTGGCTCATTCCAAGAGCTGTCTAGTTCTTTGACGGGACATTGAAACTAATCAATTTGCACAGAAATTGCCAATCGCATGAAACGAGTCCTAAAGTTATTTCAACTTTGAATATACCTTGGAAATATGTGGATATACAATGTATATAAGTAGTATTTATGTATTTATTCCCAAAAGCATCTCCGATGCTTGGGTTCTCGTTTAGTCACATTTGCCTCGAGGGAGCGATACGGATTTGACGAGAGGGTGGACGGAGGGGAAACCGTGGGAAATAGCTTGGGGAGAGCTCCGTTGGGAGGGAACGGATGGAAGCAACGATTGGGTGGACGGAGAGGAAACCGTGGGAAATAGCATGGGGAGAGCTCCGGTGGGAAGGAGCGATACGGGAGTGACGAGAGGGTGGACGGAAGGGAAACCGTGGGGAATAGCTTGGGGAGAGCTCCGGTGGGAAGGAGCGATACGGGAGTGACGACAGGGTGGACGGATGGGAAATAGCTTGGGGAGAGCTCCGGTGGGAAGGAGCGATGCGGGAGTGACGAGTGGGTGGACGGTGGGGAAACTGTGAGAAATAGCTTGGGGAGAGCTCCGGTGGGAAGGAGCGATACGGGAGTGACGACAGGGTGGACGGAAGGGAAACCGTGGGAAATAGCTTGGGGAGAGCTCCGCGGTGGGAAGGAGCGATACGGGAATGACGACAGGGTGGACGGAAGGGAAAAGGGAAGGGGACAGGAGAAAAGGAAAGGGGAAGGGAAAGGAGAAGGGGAAAGGGGGAAGGGAATGAGAAAGGATAAAGGGAAGAGAAAAAAAACCGAGCGCAACCGACTGGGTGAATTATGCGGAGGCTTGGAAATTTTGAACTTAAGAATCCCCGCATAGATGGCGCAACCCTGAAACATATTGGCAACATATTCTGGCATAGGTGGCGCGACCCACAAAAGTAAGGGGGATGGATGTCACGTCCTTTTCGGGTGTCAAAATTCAAAAAATCGGCGCCATCTACACGCGCACTGTGGAAGAGGGCGGGACCATCTACTCTGAAAATATTGTAAAATAAACATAATAAATATAATAAATATAATACATATAAATATAATACATCTAATACATATAATACATATAATACATATAATAAATATAATAAATATAATAAATATAATAAATATAATAAAATATAAATATAATAAATATAATACATCTAATACATATAATACATATAATAAATATAATAAATATAATAAATATAATAAATATAATTATATAATAAATATAATTAATATAATTAATTTAATTAATATAATTAATACAATTAATAGAATTAAAATAGTAAATACAATAAATATAATAAATATAATAAATATGATAAATATAATAAATATAATAAATATAATATGTATATATATATATATATGTAATTTTATATTTTAATTATTTTTTAGAATTATTATTACATAAAACGGGACGCCTGTCGAAAAAGTGGGCGCCCCTGCCGGAAACCCGACACTTGTACCCGGAATTGATCCAATACATCATGTAATTATGCCAAAAGTCCCAAATTTTCCGGAAATTTCGGACGAAACCCCGAATTTTCACGGAAATTTGGCGATTTAGGAATTTCCTAAAGTGGCAAATTTTCCGGAAAATTGGTGCTTCGGGATTTTGACTGAACCGCAAAATTTTCCCGAAAATTGGTGCTTCGGGAGGTCGACTCAACCGCGACTTTTGGCAGAACAACTCGCATCGCAATGCCTGATTTGGGGGTACCCGAATTTTAGGACAACGGGATGCTTGTCGAAAAAGTTGGCGCTCCGGTCGGAAACCACGTATTTATAGCCGGAATTGATGCAATATACCAGTAATACCGCACAAGGCGGTGGCGGAAGTTTCAAAAATAGGAAACCTATAGGAGAGATTGGTTGTTGTGAATCCGGGATGGCAGAGCGAATCCACTGATGGACCGAAAGGTGCTTGAGGTCTCCTCTCTTTCTCTCTCTTTCTCTCTCTTTCTCTCTCTTTCTCTCTCTTTCTCTCTCTTTCTCTGACTATCTACCTACCTACCTATTTATCTTCTATGTATCTATCTATCTATCTATCTATCTATCTATCTATCTAATCTATCTATCTATCTAATCTATCTATCTATCTATCTATCTATCTCTCTCTCTCTCTCTATCTCTCTCTCTCTTGCATCTGTCTATCTGTCTAGCTGTCTACCTGTCTATCTGTCTATCTATCTATCTGTCTATCTGTCTACCTGTAGTGTAGTGGAATGTAGTGTAGTGTTACAGTGTAATGTAGTGTAGTGTAGTGTAGTGAAATTTCGTGTTGTGGAGTGTAGTTGTGTAGTCGTAGGTGTAGTTGTAGTGTAGTGGAGTGTAGTGTAGTGTAATGTAGTGAAGTGTAGTGGAAGGTAGTGTAGTGTAATGTAGTGAAGTGTAGTGGAAGGTAGTGTAGTGTAGTGTAGTAGAGTGTAGTGGAGTGTACTTCTGTAGTTGTACCTGTAGTTGTAGTGTAGTGGAGTGTACTGAAGTGTAGTGTAATGTAGTGAAGTGTAGTGGAAGGTAGTGTCGTGTAGTGTCAAGTAGTGTAGTGGAGTGTAGTGTACTGTAATGTAGTGTAGTGTAGTGTAATTTAGTGTAGTGGAGTGTAGTTGTGTAGTTGTAGTTGTAGTGTTGTGGAGTGTAGTGTAGTGTAATGTAGTGTAGTGGAATGTAGTGTAATGTAGTGTAGTGTATTTTAGTGTAGTGGAGTGTAGAGGAGCGTAGTGGAGTGTAGTTGTGTAGTTGTAGTTGTAATGTAGCGGAGTGTAGTGTAGCGTAAGTTAGTGTAGTGGAGTGTCGTGGAGTGTAGTTGTGTAGTTATAGTTGTAGTGTTGTGGAGTGTAGTGTAGTGTAATGTAGTGGAATGTAGTGTAATGAAGTATATTGTAGTGAATGAAGCGAAGCGACATTTGAACTTCTAAAAGTGGTCCGAACCCTGGTGGGTTTAATATTTTGATTTTGAAATGTATTTCGCATTATAATATATTATAACGGTATATATTTTTTTGATTTTTTATTTTCGAAAAGTGGTCCGAAAATGGTATAATTTATCTATTTTAATTTGGAAATGTATTTTACGCTATAACGACGTGTATTTTTTCGATATTTTTATTTTTAAAAGCCGTCCGACACTGAGGTATTGTGTACATTTTGATTTGGAAATGTGGTTTATACCATAATGGCATATATTTTTGTGATATTTTAATTTCTAAAAACTATCCGAAAATTATATATTTTGTATATTTTTATTTGGAAATACGCTTTATATTATAATAATATATATTTTTTTGATATTTTAATTGGGATAATTTATATATTTTGACTTGGAAATATATTTCACACCATAATGGTATGTAATTTTTTATCTTTTATTTGGCCAGCTGACTCCGCACCCACCGCTTTAGTGAGCCTATTATTCGACCCTCCGGAACCGTAAATTATTGGAAAAATACAATAATTCGTGATTTTCCTACCTTTTCGCGCATTTACATCTTCTTTTCCTCTGATTCTTTCTCTTCTCT